GAATCCGTGATTTAATTTCGCGTAATCTGTGACCTAGTTTCGAGGAATCCGTGATTTAATTTCGCGAATTTCGTGATTTACTTTCGCAGAATCCGCATCCTATCTTTTTAGCATCCGTGATATAATTTCTATAATTCCGTGATTTAGTTTCGCAAAATCCGTGAATTCTGAATTCGTGAATCCGTAAATTCAAATTTCGCGAATTCTGTGATCTAAATCCGCGAATTTCGTGAACTAATTTTGCCAAATCCGTGATCTAGTTTCGCGAATTCTGTGATCTAGTTACGTAGAATTTACTACTTAATTTCGCGAAATCCGTGAACTAATTTTGCGAAATCCGCGAAAAAAATTAGATTGTTTTAATTGATAATTTTTTTTTGCTATATAAAATGTAAACGTATATTTAAAATGCGTTAAAAGAAATTAAATTTGGTTTGTTAATTATTTTTTTCTTTTTCTTTTTTTTTTTTTTGCTAAAATACTCGTATTTCTGAAATTCTCGAGACTATTTTAAAGGACAAGCACAAAAGTGCATGCATAATCTGTTCAAGTCGATTTGCAGTGGTCTGAAGAAATCCCTCTTGTCTAACAATGTTCGCGCCCATTGATTTACGAGGCCGTGCAAGGTCTATAAAACTGTCAACGCATGTAAGTTCACTTGCTTTCTTCGGTTAATACAAATGCGACCTATAAGTCAGTGAAAATGTTAAACATATATAGTCTTCATCGCTTTACGAGAATATATATATTATATTCAAACATTAGAGTTATAGAATGTATAAAAATTGAAAATCATAATCATTTTTTCCCCTAGCGTTCTAAATTTCCTAGTTTTTAAAAGGCTGTTTTACTCCCTAGAGTTAAAAAAACATCCCTATTATATTTCATTTCTTGTTATATTATTCATTTCACTAGGGCAAAAAAGGGGCCATTTTTTTTACCTAGTTTTTAAAAAACAGTTATTTTTCCCATAAAATTTTATGTGACTGTTTTGCTGATATTTTTTAAATATTAGATTATTAGATCTCGCTTTTACAACCAATTTGATTCGTCATTGATGTTGAATAGAATGCGCTTTGGAGAAATATATATATAGTTTGTTGAAAGTACTAGTTTCGTGAGAGATGTGACAAATGGAGTATATCGTTTTTGCAGTACATCGGTAACTGTATGCATTCAAAATGGAGAAATGTAGGATGGGGTTGGTGGGGGGGGGGGTTAGAAAGGGAATGGGAAAGCCCTCTCCCCAGTATATCTGGATTCCCGGTCGGCCTCTATTGTAAAGCATAACGAGGGGCAATTTTTACAGCTGCGAACAATACCTCGCATTAGCATCCTACCCTGCCACTGAGCTTGCTAACCTGCTACGTGACAACTCTAGGTGTGTACAATATATTTATGAATCTGCATATTGCCTACGATTTAACGTAATCGATGTGTTCGATTTACATTTTCACGTTAAAGAACGTATTCAAGATTATGATGACTTTTTCTATGTGTCCAGATGGTTCATGATTTTTTTTTTTCCGTTATTGTATAGGTATTGAATTATTGATATTTTTTTTACTGGAATATTAATAATTCAAATGATGCATTGGATCTTTTCGCATAATTTACACTTCTTTCTAGTGTTAAAAACTATTTTTCTCACTAGGGTTTAAATAGTCTACTTTTCTCCCTGATTTCCAAATTTTTTCGACAGTGTTAAAATAGGGTTAGTTTCTTCACTAGTGGCAAAAAGGACATTTTTCCTTTCTCTTTTAGAAAAGTTAATATTTATTATCCAATTGATTGAAATTAAATTCAATTTTGTAGTTTTTTTTTTCTGTATTATCTAACATCTATGTGCAATTTAAATGTAAAAGAGGAATCATTTAAACTACCCATACGAGTGTGAGAAAAAGGTCGTTGGGTTTTTTTTTTTTTTTTTTTTTTTTTTGCTTATTTTTTTTGTTGGACATTTGTTTATTTTAACGTTTCAACTCTTGAATTGTAGGGAACTTAAAAGGGCACACGGAAAAGCACACGCGTGCCGTCAAATGTGCATTGAGAGTGTTTGAAACCGGGACGAAAACAATTATTCGACTGCTCTGCAAATACGCACACGGAACGCCGCGCCTCATCAGAGCCAACTTATTTGTCTATGCAAATCGTTAATCAACGTTCGACCCATGTATGTGTATATATATACATGTACCTATTGCTCGCACTGTGGGGAATAGTTGGGTAAGGGGGGGGAGGGGGTTATATACCGGCCACAAACTATGGACCCAGTTCCACGTTTTCCCAAAGGAACACACACAAAAAAAGGTTCATTTCATTCATATTTTTGTTTTCAATTTCCCGAAAAATCTATTTTGTCGGTAAATTTACATATTTTTATTCGCGTTTTTTTTCTCTACAAACATAACCTCTAAACAATTGCTTCAATGGCAATTTATATTTTCGATTTTTTTTAATCGAAGTGTAAATATTTATGAGATATAACTGTTGGAATTATTATATTTATTTTAAATTATAATATAAAATTATAATATTAATGGAATCACGGAAAAAAATTTTTATTTGGAACAGCGATATGTTTCTCTAGAAAAGCGAAAACTTTCGTTGTTTTAGTGAAACAAATATCTGTCAAAGTGAAACTTATCGCTGTTTCAAGTAAAGATTTTTTTCCGTGTACCAAAGTAACTGGTATCAAAGTAACTGATACCATAGTAACTGGTACCAAAGTAACTGGTACCATAGTAACTAAATGGTACCAACGTAACTGGTACCATAGTAACTAAATGGTACCAACGTAACTGGTACCGAAGTAACTGGTACCACAGTAACTGGTATCAAAGTAACTGGTATCAAAGCAACTGGTACCAAAGTAACTGGTACCAACATAACTAACTCGTACCATAGAAATTGGTACTAAAGTAACTAATACTATAGTAACTAATGCCATAGTAACTGATGCCAAAGTAACTAATACCATAGTAACTGGTATCAAAGTAACTAATACCATAGTAACTGGTAGCATAATAACTAACTGGTACCATCGTAACTGGTACTAACTTAATTGGTACCAAAGTAACTGGTACCATAACTAACTAGTACCAACATAACTGGTACCATAACTAACTGGTACCATCGTAACTGGTACTAAAGTAACTAGTACCATAACTAACTGGTACTAAAGTAACTGGTACCATAACTAACTAGTACCAACATAACTGGTACCAAAGTAATTGGTACCATAACTAACTGGTACCATCGTAACTGGTACTAAAGTAACTGGTACCATGACTAACTGGTACTAAAGTAACTGGTACCATAACTAACTGGTACCATAACTAACTGGTACCAAAGTAACTGGTACTAAAGTAACTGGTACCATAACTAACTGGTACCAAAGTAACTGGTACCATAGTAACTAAATGGTACCAACGTAACTGGTACCATAGTAACTAAATGGTACCAACGTAACTGGTACCGAAGTAACTGGTACCACAGTAACTGGTATCAAAGTAACTGGTATCAAAGCAACTGGTACCAAAGTAACTGGTACCAACATAACTAACTCGTACCATAGAAATTGGTACTAAAGTAACTAATACTATAGTAACTAATGCCATAGTAACTGATGCCAAAGTAACTAATACCATAGTAACTGGTATCAAAGTAACTAATACCATAGTAACTGGTAGCATAATAACTAACTGGTACCATCGTAACTGGTACTAACTTAATTGGTACCAAAGTAACTGGTACCATAACTAACTAGTACCAACATAACTGGTACCATAACTAACTGGTACCATCGTAACTGGTACTAAAGTAACTAGTACCATAACTAACTGGTACTAAAGTAACTGGTACCATAACTAACTAGTACCAACATAACTGGTACCAAAGTAATTGGTACCATAACTAACTGGTACCATCGTAACTGGTACTAAAGTAACTGGTACCATGACTAACTGGTACTAAAGTAACTGGTACCATAACTAACTGGTACCATAACTAACTGGTACCAAAGTAACTGGTACTAAAGTAACTGGTACCATAACTAACTGGTACCAAAGTAACTGGTACCATAACTAACTGGTACCATAACTAACTGGTACCATCGTAACTGGTACTAAAGTAACTAGTACCATAACTAACTGGTACTAAAGTAACTGGTACCATAACTAACTAGTACCAACATAACTGGTACCAAAGTAATTGGTACCATAACTAACTGGTACCATGACTAACTGGTACTAAAGTAACTGGTACCATAACTAACTGGTACCAAAGTAACTGGTACTAAAGTAACTGGTACCATAACTAACTGGTACCAAAGTAACTGGTACTAAAGTAACTGGTACCATAACTAACTGGTACCAAAGTAACTGGTACCATAACTAACTGGTACCAAGGTAACTGGTACCATAACTAACTGGTACCAAAGTAACTGGTACCATAACTAACTGGTACCATAACTAACTCGTACCATATCTAACTGGTACCATCGTAACTGGTACCATAATACCAATTTTTTCAAATGAAATTTATTCATTATATCGTACAAAGTGATTATCGCGTATAATTTTTTGTGATTAACGTACAATTAATGTCGTGTATTTATATATATGCATACAATGTTTATTCTCATACATTGCGTGTGATACAGGAGACGAAAATAAGCATAAAGAAATGGACAAAACTCGTGAGCTCGAGTGATTAATTTTGCCATAGCGAAAAAGGAATGGGATTGCATATTTTATACGCACATATGCGTATACTGGGTACATTAGCGTTCACTACCTGATAAACTTAATTTCCAACAGACTCTATTATACATTTTGCGGGTGAATTGTAAATGGGGTGGGGGAAGAGGAAATGGAAAAAGAAAAATATAACTGCTAAACCTTTGGGGATTTCCGGAACTGAGCTTTCGTTTCAAAAAAAAAAAAAAAAAAAAAAAAAAAAAAAAAATAGAATCTGTTAATGATTGAACAAAAATTCAGTCAGTGTTTTATGTTTACATTTTATTATATATTTTGTACAGTATTACATTTTTTTATTTATCTAATATAAAGTTCTCTTTAAATCTGATCATTTTTAATTCATTAAAAACAGAATTTAATTTTCAATGACTTATTTACACAATTTTTTTGAATAAATTTTAATTACTTTCTCTTAGAGTACAATTTGCTTATAATAAATTAGGCACTAAGTACAATTGCACATGGAAAAAAATCTTTATCTGGAATAGCGATATATTTCTCTAGAATAAGCGAAAACATTCGCTGTTTTAGTTATAAATATCGCTGTTCCAGGTGAAACTTATCGCTGTTCCAGGTGAAAATTTTTTTCCATGCATTTTATTTTATTAAATTTTTAAAAAATGTTTTAAAAATTATGGCGGTGTTTTCGGTAGTATTTTCTCAGACTAAATCTCTTTTTCAAATATATTTTTTTTTTTGCATCCATTTATAAATAGTTATTCTTATTAGTAATTTGGCAGAAATTGTTTTCTGTATCATAATGATAAATAAAGAGAAAAAGAGATACAGAAATATTAAAAGAAAAATTTAGAATTTACAGAAATATGAAATTAGGAATTATTTTTTAATTCAAATAATTATTTTTGTAATTTTTTTTTTGTTTTTTTTTTTTTAATTTTTAGGGTTTTTTATGGTAACTGATATTGATAAAAATTAATTAATATAACAGCCTTATTGGATGCATTATAATCATCGTTGTCTCATCCAATTTTTTTTAATTTACAAATTTTTTTTTATTTTAATGATAATATATTTATTGTTTAATTTTAAAGGTAATAGGAAAACAAACCTAGGCAAGTTAGTAGTAGGCAAGTTAAAAAGGTGTTGTTACCATTGAATGAGGCTCCATTTGGTTTTTTATCAGGATGAGATGTATTTTTCATAATTAATTCCCAAAATTGCATTCTCTCGACCAGAAAATCGTTTTCCATTTCAATTTTAGTTGTATTTTTGTCTCCTATTCTCATGAATTTTGTATTCTCCTTTTTATATGGTTTCCATTCTGTCGTTAAATCAGCATGTGGTACTCTAAAAAAATTATTATAAATTCGAATTTATTGACAATTTATAATAATATAAAAAGAGCCACAATTTTGGTAACAATTATTTATTTTTCCTTACCCATTTTTTGCAAAATTTGAAAATAATTCCGTCATTAAATTAATCATTGTTTTATCGTTATCATTTTTTTGTAAATTTTTATTATCGCCCATTTTTTCTAAAAAGGGAAACAAAGAACCCACATCGTCTATGTGTGCGACACCTGAAAATTAAATAATTTTATTTTTCAAAATAAAAATAAAAAAAAATTGTTTATTCTCTCTTTATTATTAATTTGTTGAATTTTTTACCATGTGGATGATTTACGCTGCCTAGAATTGAAAATGTTCCTTCATAAGCAAAATGATAAAAGTAAATTTTCAATTTTTCAAAATGATGTTTTAAACTATTATAAACTGGCCAATATATTCCAGCATCACCAATCATCTGTACAAAAAAAACAATTAATTTCAAAATTAAACAATTAGTTTATTTTTAATTAATCGAAAATAATTTAATAAAAAAATATTCACTTTTGTAAAGTTGGTTGTTATATTGGCGGTAATATTTCCTTGAAAATAATAATCAACTATTGATTTGGTGAAATTTGTCTTGTTCTTGATAACTTCAGAATATTCCAAAATCTCTGAGCCAATTTTGGTAAAGTTTTCCTTTAGAAATGCATAATCATTTTCATTTAGGTTTACTGTAACAAAAAAAAAAAAAATTTAATTTATTTATTAATAATTGTTTAATTTTTATTTTATTAATTATTTTTTAAATAAATGAAAATATTTACCGAGTCCTAAACCTTCATCGGATGTCACTCCCATTATCCATGAATCAATGTGAATATCACCATCTTCTATACTTTGTTTTGGTGATTTTATTATTACTGCAGTTTTACTATCTTTCTCCAATGTTGGTCCAAAGATACAGTTTGGTGAATTTTTCCAAATGGCCTTAAAAATTTTTTTTTTATATTAAAAATATTTTTTATTAAATAAAAATAAGATTTTTCTTTTGCACAAAAAAATGCAATTTACTTACGAATTTTTGGGTCAATTTTAAGAGTTCCGTTACATTTTTTTCTCTCATGCAAGTTAATATATTCGTTTCATTTATTTTCTCGTCTTTGTTAGTTGAAACTGAAAAAAATTTATATTATCAATTAATAATTATTATTAATTATAATTTGATCAAATTTCGAATTTTTGTGTTAATAAAAAGAAGAATTTAAATTTTTATCCTTTGGTACAAAAAAATAATAATTATTATTATTAATATATTTACTATTATAGCAGCCAGCATAATTGGCGAGTTTAAGTGAAGAATTTCTAATGTTATCATTAGTATGATAGGCCCAGGGTGCTAGGGCTGAACCACTCATTGTAATTATTTTATGGAAAAGTCCTTTTGTATTTTTAGAAAGTGCTAAATGATGAATAGCTGCGGCTCCTGCGCTATTACCAAAAAGTGTTACAGAATTTGGATTTCCATTAAATTTATGTATATTTTCCTTCACCCAATTTAAAACTTGAACCATGTCCTTTAATCCATAATTTCCCTGTGCGTGCTCATTTCCAGTACTGTAAAATCCTATTTGAAAAAAAAATTTATAAAAAACAAAAAAATTTATAAATAATATTATAGTAATTGTATTTAATTTTTCATTTCTCTTTTTGTTTCAGGTAAGTCAAAATTCCATCGAAAATAATTTTTGAACCTAAAAAGTTGAGACGATAATTGAATGTGACAAGAATGACGTCTTGACGAAGAAGATATTTTGGTGAGAATGCTTCACTATTTGTTGATCCCATATTAAAACTTCCACCTCTGATAAATATAAGTACGGGAAATGTGGAATTTATTTTTTTTTCCTGTAAAATGGATAATTAATTTTAATTTTTTTTTTCATATAAAATTAATTTTTCCTTTTGATTAGATTAATTTATGTATTTTTCAGTAAATTACAAAAAAAGGTTTTTAATCTCGAATATAGATATTTAAATTTATTGTGATTACATCATTTAGAATACACATGTGACGAAAATTTCATTTTATGATAAATCTGTCTACTCTACTTTTATGATTCAAGATTTTCTATAAGTAGAATTTTATCTTATTTTTCAAAAGAAAATCTGTTTTTTATGAAAAATTCTTTTTCTGTAAATATTACTGTTCGTTTCAAATAGAATTTTTTAAAAAAAAATTTTATTCTTTCATTGTGAATGCGATTTTTTAATTAATATTATACTTTGAAAAAAGAATATTATAATTCAAAAGCGGATGTTTTTTTTTCTATTAGTAGAATTCAATTTGAAAATTTATTTTCTATATTTTTTATTTATATTTTATTTATATTTTATTTATATTTTATTTATATTTTATTTATATTTTTTATTAATTTTAGTAAAAAAAATTTTCCGTAACAATAATTAATTAATTGACATAATTTGTTGAGGTATTGTATATTGTAATACTTTTAGAAAGTGTATACAATAAATCAAATAGAATTAATTGCTTCTAATTAGATGAAATTAAGTTTTATTATTTTTTATCGTAATTATTTTATTAGTCTTCTATAACTATTTATCAATTGTGACAGTATATTTTCTACGTATGCAATAAACTATAAGTCTTTTTTTATTTTGAAATTTTGAATCATAAAAGTAAAGAAATTTGAAATTTTTTTTTTTTTTGATGATTCAGTTTTTAAGCAAACTGATATAAAAAAAAAATATCATTTAGACGAAAAGGAAATAAAAAAATTATATGATAATAAAACGTGTATATGAGTAAAACAATATCTCATTAGATCATAAATCACAGCTGTTAACTGTACTTATAAAGAGTATGTTTGCATTGAAAAAAAAAAATTTCAGTTATCTTACTTTTATTTAGAATTATTTTTTAATGGACTATTTTATTTCTAGAGAGACAATATATATAATACACGTGCAAAGATTATTCTTTAGATCATTTTATTTACTCGACCGGTTTGAGTACAAATAGCTTTTAAAACTATTAACAAGATGTTTAATGAATAGAGAAAATGAAACCAGTATTTTTTTCAATGACGTAACGATAGGTGTCCAAGGATCTTTAGCGTTAGTATTAAAATATAAATAATTCCAAAATAATTTTTTTTAATATATTTTGTTTGCGAATTTTTTTCTCCCACAGAAAAATTATTTTCGCTGTAAATTTTTTAACTGTAGCAAATTTTAACTAAAAATGAGTTTGCTATTGCAATTAATTTATTTTTTGGAAAATATTTTTCAAAAAGAAATATTTCCTCGATTTTATTTAAATATTCTTTGTATGTAAAAAGTCATTTTTAACAAAAGATAATCGTACAGTCATAAGTGAGATTAAAAATGTGTCACATGTGTGATAAGTTATTTAAACGTTAACTCACTTTAGGAACAAAAATATTCATATAAAGACAATCCTCTTCTCCAGTTATTGCACCATTATAATCGATTTGAATACAATGTGGTTTATCTTTATCGGCAACTAATTCTGAATTCGTATAATTTTTTGTCCATTTTACAGGATCCTGAAAAAAAGAAAATATTTTTTTTTAAATATAATTTAGAAAAATTTAATTCCCAATTATATTTTAAAACATCGATATTTATTAAAATTTTTTTTACTATTCGATTAATCGTGTTTGAAACAGGAAAAAATATGGTAATAAGTTTTAATGAATTTATCTTTATTGCCTGAATTTTTTCCTTGTTGAACATTTCGTAAAACAGAATTTTATTTCTTTAATTTCTATGTTTATTATATTTTTTATTACACTGAAAAAAATTTTTAATAATACTTAACTATTGGCAAATAAATATTTATTTTTATTAAATAATTATTGTTTCAAATTAAATTTTATTTTAAATACAGAAAATATTGGTTCAAAAATACAGTTTATTTAATTATTTGAATTCAAAAAATTGATTCAAAAATTATTTCCTACAATATTTATTTGATAATAATTATTTGAATAACATTTTTTTTTCAGTGTACTATTAATTTTTTTTTTAAATTTTACCTTAAATCGTAATTCCTTTATCGGTGGTTCCGCATACGGAATACCTAAATAAGCCTCTATTCCTTTTTCTGTTTCATTAAATTCAAGTTTTTCCGTAAATTCAAATTGACCGCGAATATTTCCAAATTGTGTTTCAACTGAAGGAGGAACACATTCTCCACCAATCACAATTAATAATACGGTCATGAATTTTAATTGCCACATGTTTTTTTTTTTTTAAATAGAGATTAGAGGAAAAATAAACGTTTCTTTTTTTTTAACACTAACGAACTCGAAACAAACACGCGGTATAAACGCGGACACGGGCTTTTTCCCCAAGAGAGCAACTCAAACGCGTTCTTGTTCGATGTAATTATGTGAATGTCTGCGTGCAAACGCAGATAGCATACGCAAATACGCGACGATGCTTTAATTGAACGCTCCGTGCTAGTCGAAGTGACATATAAAGCGTACTATGACAATGACGACCCGTTTATGAAATAATTCGGATGAGCCGCTTCGTGCGTGCCTATTGAGTTAGTTTCCATTTTCCAGGAGAGTGGGTAACGGCAATGTCAAATTCAAGTTCGGTAATGATAATAATGTTTATACAACAATTGAAATCGGGGGGCAAGGGAAATTTCTCATATATATATATATATATATATGTGCGAGATAATTTAGATTGAAAATTCTAAATTCTCTAGAATTTTTTTTTTGTTCCTACACCGAAAAAAAAATATTCTTGTATTCAGAGGAAAATTCCTCTTATACAGAATCCCTTTTGAATTTTATTCTTAAAACAAGAGTATTATTCTTTAAATGAGAATATTTTCCTCTAATTTCAAGAGGATCGAAACAAAAGGACTATTCTAGAGCATTCCTCTTTATATTCAGAATAATGTTTTTAGAATAAAAATAATACTCTTAGAATTTAGAATAATTTTCTATGTTTAAGAATATTCCTCTAAATTCTAAGAGGATTTCCCATAGAAAATGTTGCAACTTACACAATACGTGCCTATTTTTGTATAGGTAAAAGAAATTTTTAAAAGTAATTTTTAAGAAAATTTAAATAATTTTGAGGTTATGCTATTTAAAAATTTATTTTATTACGATTTTTATTTATTTTAATTTTATTTGAAAATTTATTTAAAATAAATTTTCAAATTTAATGAAGTATATGTTTTGCGCATAAAAATATTATTAAAAATAGAATTAAGTAAATTAATTATAATTTAAATTAATTAAATTATTAAAAAAATAAAATCAATTTCAATTTATTTATACTTAAATAGATGTAAATCATGGAATAACAAATTTTATTCCTTTTAATTTTTTATAGATTTGTATCTAAGACATACAAATTAGAAGATTGCATTTTTATTATTTCAGAGTTCTTTTTAAGATGATATATTTTCCTCTTAAATTAAGAGGAATAATTTTACATAGAGGACAATCCTCTTAAACCTAGAGGACATCCAATTTTGCTTATTTTAATACCAAAATGGATTAAAATAAGCAAAATTGGATTAAAATAAGAAGCGTTGCAGCTTATTTTAATGCCTTTTAATTTTCTGTGTTATTATATAGGAATGAGTAACCGTTTTGACTAATTTTTATTGCAATTAATTTAAAAGTATCAAATTAATACCAAAAGTATAAAATTGGTATCAAAATTTGCATCGATTTGGTATTTTTGGTATCAATTTGATACTTTCTATTTAAGAGTTTAGTAAAAAAAAATGACTAATTATAAGGAGAAAACTACTAATTTATTTATTGAGATTACTATTTCAATTGGTAAACTTTAATAAATAAATTAGTAGTTTTCTACTATCAATTAGCCATTTTTAACTAAAATTTAATCAACACTGTTACTAATTCATTTAATAAACTAATTTATATCTAATATATTTTTTACATTCAATTTTCTATATAAGTTTTGAAATTTATTTTTAAATATAACATTTTGAAGTATTTAATTTAAAAATCATTATGTTCAAAAACTATTTTAACCAGTTAGTAGAATATTTAAGAAAGTATCGATTCATTGGATTTGAGAAATACTATAAATTATTACAAAGTTTTTGACGTCTCAAAAATAAATTTCTCTTTGTATAATTTTAGTTAAAATTTTTTCTATATAAATTCTTACATATTCTCAAAAAAAAAATCAAATTTTATGACGGAATTATTATTTGCCTGATGTTAATTTGACAATTGAACGAAAAATTTGTTTACTACTTTTTTTGACTTCAAATTTTAATATTTTAATATTAAATATTAATATTAAATATTTCTGTATCCGAAAAAAATTAATAATAATAATAATAAATAATTAATAATATTATAATTAATTAATCTCAATGAACGAAATAATTTTGGAAATTACAAAATACTTAACCCATTTATAAATAGAAATAAATAATTAATAAAAGCTTTTTGGGAATTTTTACGGTAGTTTAGAGGTTTTTTTTTTTTTAAAAAAACAGTATTGTCGAAAATAAAATTCACCTGTCATTATATATAGGACGCGATGTATATATATATAGTAACAACTAAAGGGAAAACAAAAATAAAATGAAAAATGTAAAAGCAATCGTTCTTTATTTAGAGGTATATATACGAATTGGTTTGCTCGCAAAGTGTTACTACTTCAAGTTACTTAAATTCAGTTTTCGTGAAGATTTTTCATTGAATTCCCAAAGGTATTCTTCACCGCGTCGGTGTGTCTCTCGTCAACCGGTGAAGATCCGTTTCCTGCGGAATCGGAATCCTAACAATTTCCTGACGAAGGGGCGCCTCGTGGGAATTTCCGGTGGTGGAAAGCATCGTGGCGATGTTTCCACGCGAAATCTCCTTCGCCACCTCTTGTGTTCGTTGGTTACACATTGTTGGTTTTTGAACTCGCTTATCTATGACAGGAGAGTTGTTAGCTATGCGAATAATATAAGATATTTTGCATATGTCTTTTATATATATATATATATATATATATATATATATATACATTTTCCTTTTATGTGTGTGTTTGTTCTTTTTTCATCTGTATTTACGATAACATTTTTTTATTTGGTCCTCTCTTTAAGAGAGATAAGATAGACGAGATTTAAGTCAAGATGTACCAAGGTTACAAACGGTTACAGCAAGTGGAGCAAAGAATTTTTTTTTAGTTTCAATTTTTATATTGCTTTGGCCTTTATTTTTGATATTTGATAGTTATCACGATTCGATGAATCATGGTTTAATTGCTTTTTAAATTCGAGGAAAAAATTAAGTGTAGGTATAATCTTTCGGTTAATAGAATTTTTCTTACAATAAAAAATGTTGAAGCAGTGAAGAAATAGATTTTGTTGCTAGAAAATCGTTTGGTTATAGGAAATTTCGGTTGGCGTAACCAATTTTTGATTGTCGTAACCAAATTTCGGTTGTCGTAACCAAATTTTGTTTGTCGTAACCGAATTTTGGTTGTCGTAACAAAATTTTGGTTGTCGTAATTAAATTCTGTTTGTCGTAACCAAATTTTGGTTGGCAGAAATGCATGTAGAAAAAGTTGACTGCGGCAGCAAACTATTTGCTTTCACATCGAATTTAGTTAGATTTAAGTCCAGATGTACCAAGGTTACAAACGGTTACAGCAAGTGGAGCAAAGAATTTTTTTTTAGTTTCAATTTTTATATTGCTTTGGCCTTTATTTTTGATATTTGATAGTTATCACGATTCGATGAATCATGGTTTAATTGCTTTTTAAATTCGAGGAAAAAATTAAGTGTAGGTATAATCTTTCGGTTAATAGAATTTTTCTTACAATAAAAAATGTTGAAGCAGTGAAGAAATAGATTTTGTTGCTAGAAAATCGTTTGGTTATAGGAAATTTCGGTTGGCGTAACCAATTTTTGATTGTCGTAACCAAATTTCGGTTGTCGTAACCAAATTTTGTTTGTCGTAACCGAATTTTGGTTGTCGTAACAAAATTTTGGTTGTCGTAATTAAATTCTGTTTGTCGTAACCAAATTTTGGTTGGCAGAAATGCATGTAGAAAAAGTTGACTGCGGCAGCAAACTATTTGCTTTCACATCGAATTTAGTTAGATTTAAGTCCAGATGTACCAAGGTTACAAACGGTTACAGCAAGTGGAGCAAAGAATTTTTTTTTAGTTTCAATTTTTATATTGCTTTGGCCTTTATTTTTGATATTTGATAGTTATCACGATTCGATGAATCATGGTTTAATTGCTTTTTAAATTCGAGGAAAAAATTAAGTGTAGGTATAATCTTTCGGTTAATAGAATTTTTCTTACAATAAAAAATGTTGAAGCAGTGAAGAAATAGATTTTGTTGCTAGAAAATCGTTTGGTTATAGGAAATTTCGGTTGGCGTAACCAATTTTTGATTGTCGTAACCAAATTTCGGTTGTCGTAACCAAATTTTGTTTGTCGTAACCGAATTTTGGTTGTCGTAACAAAATTTTGGTTGTCGTAATTAAATTCTGTTTGTCGTAACCAAATTTTGGTTGGCAGAAATGCATGTAGAAAAAGTTGACTGCGGCAGCAAACTATTTGCTTTCACATCGAATTTAGTTAGATTTAAGTCCAGATGTACCAAGGTTACAAACGGTTACAGCAAGTGGAGCAAAGAATTTTTTTTTAGTTTCAATTTTTATATTGCTTTGGCCTTTATTTTTGATATTTGATAGTTATCACGATTCGATGAATCATGGTTTAATTGCTTTTTAAATTCGAGGAAAAAATTAAGTGTAGGTATAATCTTTCGGTTAATAGAATTTTTCTTACAATAAAAAATGTTGAAGCAGTGAAGAAATAGATTTTGTTGCTAGAAAATCGTTTGGTTATAGGAAATTTCGGTTGGCGTAACCAATTTTTGATTGTCGTAACCAAATTTCGGTTGTCGTAACCAAATTTTGTTTGTCGTAACCGAATTTTGGTTGTCGTAACAAAATTTTGGTTGTCGTAATTAAATTCTGTTTGTCGTAACCAAATTTTGGTTGGCAGAAATGCATGTAGAAAAAGTTGACTGCGGCAGCAAACTATTTGCTTTCACATCGAATTTAGTTAGATTTAAGTCCAGATGTACCAAGGTTACAAACGGTTACAGCAAGTGGAGCAAAGAATTTTTTTTTAGTTTCAATTTTTATATTGCTTTGGCCTTTATTTTTGATATTTGATAGTTATCACGATTCGATGAATCATGGTTTAATTGCTTTTTAAATTCGAGGAAAAAATTAAGTGTAGGTATAATCTTTCGGTTAATAGAATTTTTCTTACAATAAAAAATGTTGAAGCAGTGAAGAAATAGATTTTGTTGCTAGAAAATCGTTTGGTTATAGGAAATTTCGGTTGGCGTAACCAATTTTTGATTGTCGTAACCACATTTCGCTTGTCGTATATAATCAAAATTTTGTTTGTCGTAACCGAATTTTGGTTGTCGTAACCAAATTTTGATTGTCGTAACTGAATTCTGTTTGTCGTAACCAAATTTTGGTTGGCAGAAATG